CTCGTAAACAGCCCCGAGTGGCATGGCGAGGCAGGCAACCATAAGGTCGGCGACGGCTAAACTCACGATTAAATAATTTGCTACGGATTGTAGGCTTCGTTCCACTAGGATCACCGCTATTACGAACGAATTCCCTGAAACATATGCAAATATTAAGGAGCGTTATGATGTTCTCTCTTTCTCTTGTTTATAAGCGTCAAATCAAATAATCTAGATGTATTAGATGTATTAAGGTAGTACATATACGAGCGTGTCCTTCGAATGCCCTGGTCGACTAGGTCACCGACTAGAATCTCATTGGGAGTCGAGACGTTTTACGTGTATTTACTATATTGCCACTCGACACGTTAAAACGTTGCAATATATTTTTCTTTGTCCTCTCTTTCTCTCTCTTTTCTTTTTTTCGTGTATATATGTGTGTGTGTGTGTGTGTGTGTGTGTGTTCTTTTTTTATTAACACACTTCATCCTTCTCTCTCCCTCTCTCTCTCTCTCTCTCTCTCTCTCTTTCACTCTCTGTCTGTGTCCTTCTGTCTCCTTCTTTCTTTCCTCTTTCTTTTTTTTTTCTTTTCTTTCTTTTTTATCAACACACTCTCGGTCGGTCGATATCGAAACGCGAAGAAATTCTCGTAGATTTTCTCACGTCGTCGTGCTTTCTCGTTGATGGAAAAGTCGACGGATAATGTGGATGCTTTTTCGATCTACGAGATCGAAATAAACGATTCGTCTTTACTTTTCTTTTTTTAGAAAAAAAAAAAAAAAAAAAAAGTAATCAAAGGGAAAGAGAGAGAGAGAGAGAGAGAGAGAAAGAGAGGGTGGGATAGATGGGGGCGAACATGATCTATTTAGAAAAAACAGTTGAATCGGCATAAACTGAACTGAAAATATCAATATGTTCTATGACTTGGTAAAGAGGATTTCGAGAAGATACAAATTGTCCTACGATATACGATATATCTATGGATATACATATATCGTATATGTAATTTTGTATATATATATATACATATACATATATACATATATATGTACGAATTTCTCAATTTGATACAAATTGATATTCCGATGGTCTTTAGAAGCAGAAACCACGTTTATAGTTCTAACAAAGCATTCAATGGTAAACCCGGTTGGAAGTTGGCCGATTAATTAGGATCTCGGAAAATCGAGTAATTAAGCTTTATAAATTATAGGACTTGAAAGTTAATTTCATAGTCAACATCGTCGAAAAGCGTTACCCTGGTAGACGTGGCTTATTATTATCGTTTATGTATTCATAAGTACATAGGAATAGTTAGGTATATATATATATATATATATATATATATATGTATATATATACTTATTTAAATGAAGCAAAAAGAATCGTTAATGTTTACTTTCTATATAATCTATATGTCTATATATATATATATATATATGACATTAAATAAAAATGATTTATTTCGTTAATTAAACGTTCGGACATTCTCTCTTTCTCTTTCTTTCTTTATTTGCTTTTCTCTTCAATATTTATAACGTATCAACTTTATACGCAATACATATTAATATGCAATTATCACGATAAATAATCGTTATAAGAAAAAGTTGCTGACGATGGAATAAAGAAACGTAATGTACTTTACGATAATAAAATTGATCCTTCCGTGCTTTTGGACGATTCTAAATATGCGAAGCACGCGGTGTTATGAAATCGTGCTTATACACCGTGACAGGAATATCGATGTTAGTATTTTCTGCGCGAATTACGAGGTAACTCGAATGGAGATTGAATGAAAATCCTATTCGTTTTCTACTCATTCTATTTTTTCGATATATCTTCGTCATTGTATAGTATTCTCTCTCTCTCTCCCTCTCTCTCTCTCTCTCTCTCTCTCTATCTCTCTATTTCTCTCCCACTTTCATCTTGCCACACTTTACAATTTATTATAAAAATGAGCCAACAAAAAATTTTATTAATTGTAAATGAACGAGAGTGAGAGAGAAGGATGTATTATTCAAAATTTCATTTCAGTATTCGTGTACCGAAAACAATGTAATCGAATGTAGCAATTTTTGGGGTACAGGGAAAATTCGTGAACGAAAACAAGAAAAAAGGGGGAAAAAAAAAGAAAGGAGAAAAAAGGATAAAAAGAGTGATGAAATAATCTCGTCGGAACTTTATATACGTACACGTATATTATGCTTTCTTACTATATATATATATATATATATATATATATATATATATATATATATATATATTTTATACTATGAAAGATATACACAATAACAAATAGGTCAACTGTAAACAACGGAAAATGATTTTGCTAGAAGCACCTGAAAGGTAACGTTCGAGTTCCGTTACTCGTATAAAATTGTTACCTGTTTTCATTCATTCAACTTGTTTTATATCATTCGAGATATATCTCGTTTTATAATATTTTTTTTTTATATTAACATAGAAATAATTGTTTACACCAGTAATTAGTACATGCATATCTTATACTATAATATTTTAGAATAATTTGTTAGTCATACAATATATTCGACGCATTCGCAATCCTAAAGTTGTTTTGCATTATTATTTTCCTCCATTCGAGCATTGGAGAACTATATCGGCGTATAAGACGATAGAAATTCGTATTCTCTCTTCCATGGAAGTAAATGGAAATTCAAAAACAAAAACGGGAAAATGGAACGGAAGCGTACAAGAATAAAAGAGAGAGAGAGAGAGAGAGAGAGAGAGAGAGAGAGAGAGAGAGGAGAGTAAGTGCATTTTGCCTTAAATTTTAACCGGTAATGTGGTACACGCTTCAAGAGATCCTTCGTTTCGTACTTCAATATAATAACAATAAGTTTATCCTCGTAGTCCGACTTAATTTACTAGAATATTTTAATAATGAAAAATTATATATTTATTATATATACATATATATATATATATATATATATATATATATTTATGTATGTATTGGAATGTACAAAGTGGGCAGAAAGTTTCTAAATAATTTGCAAAATCGATTACGTTTATTCGAGATTGTTTAAATTAATCTTTCTTTTTTTTTTCTTTCTTTCTTTTTTTTTTTTTTTTTTTGTTTCTTCTTCGTTTATTTCTTTCCTTTTTAATATTATCAAATTACCTTGTAAAACTATCAAATTGAAAAAGTATCAGGTAAAAAGAAGTAATAGATTTTTAAAATCGCTTAGGAAGTTCCTTTTTTTAATTCTTTTATTTATTTATTTTTGTCCTTAACCTGTGTATAAATATAACGATGGAATGAGTATAGGATTACGGAACTAAATCAGGACAATCCGGATTTTCGATTCTTTCCTTTTTCTTATTCTTATTCTTATTCTTATTCTTATTCTCATTCCTTTTCTTTTTCTCGTTGAACTTATCGACCATAATCCATAAGATACAAGGATTATCGGCTCGTCAGTTTCTCCTTCGACGTCTACGTATGATCGCACGTGTCCCTCGTAATCGATCCTTTGGAAGCGTGATATCGTCGAAGAATATATACCTGGGGCAAGGTAAAATAGTATACGTGATACAATTTCCGTTCTTCCTTCTTATACCTTTCATCTAGATACATATATATATATATATGTATATATACATACATACGTACGAAATCGAGTTTATAGAGTTTTGAAATGTTATGGTCGTGCTAAAGGACGATATGCAATGTATCATTGATTAGATTCACCTTGGTATCATCTTACTAACTTGGTAAATTTTAATTTTACATGAAACTTAGCGAATATGTAGACCACATCGAATCTACGTAAGGAACAATTTTGAAATTTCAAATATCAAAGTTGTATCACGTTCGAAGAGCTATCAAACTACGAGAGCTATCAAAGAGAAAGAAAGAGAGAGAGAGAGAGAGAGAGAGAGAGAGAGAGAGAAATATGTATATATATAAATATTAACAATTATAAATAAAATTCACATGACGATCGTATCTAAAAATAAAACGTAAAATTAGAAATAATAATAAACAAAAAAAAATATATATATATATATTTATATATTATATATTATAGATAGAAATATCAATATATAATGTATTTTATGTCGATTAATAAAAAAAAATTAACAACAATCGAATTATTTATGAAATATTTTAATCATCAATTTATATATATATATATATATATATATATATATATATATATATAGAATATAGAATGTAAGATCGTTTTATAATAAAATGGAGGCTAAAAAATGACATTTTTATTTTCACATTTTAAGATCATTCATAATGTCGTAGGTGGTGTTCAATGATTCGTCGCCATGTCGTTTATTTTCCTCGCACTTTAAAGCTTCGCTTTACCACATTTTGGACATGACAAAGTGTTCTCATTCGTGCACGTCCAAAGGCAAATATGTATGTATACACATTTTTAGAAAGCCCTTATCCTCTCTCGACTCTTAAGTCACTTCTAACACAGCTAAAAGTAAAATGCCAACGTAACGCGTTTCTTGAATGGATTGAAGGTGGTTCCAGTTAATGCGGTCACGTATTTCATTTAAATTAAACTTATGACATAAACATCGATTATTTATTTGTTTGTTTGTTTTTTTAATTTTTCCTTTTCTTTTTTTTTTTTTTTTTTTTTCTTTATATTCAACACTTTTCTTTCTTCTTTTTGTTTTTCTTCTTTGTCTTCGTTTTTCTCTTCTTCCTTTTGTTTTAATTTTACGTTATATATATATATATATCTACTTTTTATTTATTTACGCACGTATTTTATGTTGTACCATCTACGTGCGCGACAATGGAAAAAGAAAATAATATCAAAGAAAAATGGTCGATCCATATGAATCGACCATTTATAACCGTGAAAAAAAGTAACAATTCGTCAATCTCGAATAACGTATGTACATACGTAAATATATTTCTTTTCTTTTTCGTGACATAATTGAAACAAATATGACACTAGCTTGTTTATAGTTATGTACAATTTTCCATACGTAATTTATAGGTCATTTCTAGTGATTAAATTTGTAAATTCACGATCCACGGCTTTAAAAGTTTTGCTTTTTTCTCTTGGCGAGATTCCAACGAGTATCTCTAACCTACTCTCTCTCTCTCTCTCTCTTTCTTCTTTTCTTTCTAAAGGCATGCTCATAACGATATTTGCTGGAATAAAGAGAACCTCTTGATCGGTCTACTCTAGACCGTGATGCACACCATTTTCTTTTCAAGAGATTCGTCGGTGCTTTCATATAAAAATTTTCAAATCGGCCAGGAGTTTCGGGGAACCAAAAAAAAAAAAAAGAGGAGAAAAAGGAGGAGGGGCGGAAAAAAAGAATCAAGAAAAAAAGAAAAGAAAAAAAAAAGAAAAGAAAAGAAAAGAAAAGGAAAAGAAAAAAATACTTTGGTCGGTCATGCATTATTAATGAGGGTAATACTTCTTGAACGATATCGTGGTCTGCCCATTTTAGAGAAAATATTCCTTCTCCTTGAAGTAGTCTCTCTTAGATCGTAAGTATACAAAAGGAGAAGAAAGATGAGAAGATATTACGCGTTATAATATCGGCCAACTAACTGGTTGTTTTCCTTACGCTTATGTTATCGCATTTCGTCAGAATCGATAAATTATTAAATCTTTTATCGACGAACAAAGGTATACGTAAAAGTAGTCCGAATAATTATTATTGGTATTTCAATGGAAACGCTTAAGTAAATATATATTTTATTTGTAATATCAGATACGTTAGATATGTTTGCTTTCCTACGTGAAAGTTGATTGGTTTTTTATAAAATATATACGTATCATAAAGGAAAAGAATGGCGAAATACCGATGCAAAATATATTACCTTAGTTATCCTGTTATTTTTTTTTCTTTTTTTCTTTTTTTTTTTTAATAAAAATTTCATTTATTAATATTTTGTCAACCCATCGGAAAAATAACGTAATAAATCGAGCTAGTCGATAAAACGATCGATATCTTTTTTTGTAATATCTCGCAATATATTATTATTAGGAATTATATATGGTTTTAAAAGTGATAACAAATCCATTGATATTGAAAATGGTGATAATAATACGTTCTTGTTATTACGAAAAATTTAACAATATCTATCAATAAGCTAATCTTTTTATATTGTAGATATCTATCTGCGTATCTATTATCTATTTATATATCTATTTATATATATATATATATATATATATATCTATTTATCTATATTTTTCGAATATGCAACAAAAGATATCTTGCAAAAAATAAATGTTCAAAAACACGAGATAGATATCTATATGTAAAATATTAATATGTAATAATATCTATATGTAAATATTAAAAATAAATATATGGTAGATCGATCCGTTTTACTGGATTATTTTATATAACAATGTTTGAATAAATTATACAATAGAATTAAATATTCAATAATATGTATAATAAGGTAAACAACAAACAAAAAAAGAAAATAAAAAAATTAACACGAGATAAAATATTTAAGCGATTGGTAGGTAACTTTGGTATTCGTTGTAATTTTTTTTTTCTTTTTTTTTTTTTTTTTTTGTAAAGAATGTATAAAATTTTACCATATTTTTTATGTGTACGCGACTGTTCAATTTATTTAACACGAAATAAATCATATATTTACGATATATTTTATTTATGATTTATGCTAATAGTATTATTTATGATATATTTAAAACATTTATGTTATATACATACATATTATAAATTATAATCCATGATTGAAATTAATTGTTATTCTTATATATTTATATAAATATATAATGAATGTATAGATATAAATGATCAATTTAAAGTTAATTGTTCAAAGTTAATTATTTAATATAATCATAAGATATAAGGATATTTTGATTTTGCAAATGAATTATGTCATAGAGAAACAAGTAAGCGTATCGGTATGCAGGTCGGTAGGTCGAGAGCAGGGAGAAGTATTTAATACGATAGCGATTACCCGCGTCACTGTCGTTGACAGATTATACGCGGTCGAAGCGTGTCAGGTTTAAATTGATCACCCGTTATGCTCACGCGCACATATAGATGTGTCAGTTGGATAGTGTACGTTGGTAAGACGAACCATCGACTACAACGACGACGACGACGACGACGACGACGACGACTACGACGACGATGACAACGACGACGACGACGACGACGACGACGACGACGACGACGACGACGACGACGACAACGACGATGTCGTTATCTCGTAACCCTCGACATAGGCATCGACTCAACCACGATTTAAGGGACTCTCTTTTAAATCTTAAGCTTTTACAACCGATGATAATGGTAACAGCAATATGTCAACTATGATCAAAATGAAAAAAAAAAAAGAAGAAAGAAAGAAAGAAAGAAAGAAAAAGTGATTATATTAAAGGAAGTTCGATGTTATTTGAATTTTTTATTCATTTCTTTTATATATATATATATATATATATATATATATATATATATATATATAAGCAGATATATCGAATATAAATTAATAATAATAATTTTATATCATCGATATGTAAATAAACATAAAAAATATATATGTGTGTGTATATATATTATATATATATATATATATATATATATATATATATAATATATTGATAGGTAGATATTTTCTACATATAATTTTTATAAAAATTTGAAAAATAAGAATTTATCTAGATTAATTCAGATGTAAAGCTAAATTTTAATATGAAAAATTTTTTTAATTTTTCTTTTTCTATCAATGATTTATTAAAATCGATATTAACGTCGTATAATATTCAGAATAAAAAATTTCTAATCGTTAAGTAACTCAAAGAGATAAGAATATTTAATAATTTATCGACGCCTATGAGAAGTAGTTATTATGCTTATAACTATACACACACAAACACACACACACACACACATACATACATACATACATACATACATATGTCGAGATGAGGAGGGTTGTAAGACGGTCATGTATAGGTATATACATATAGTTATAGTAGAGGAATGACGATTAATGGTCGTGATGGTTTCGAAATCAATTATGCTACCGATACATCCACCGACCTCCAGTTAACGGCTTCGCTACCCAGTTCGTTTAACAAGTAACTATCAACCCGCTAATTTCAATCGGTTGTTCGCCTGGCTTATTAGTTATTACATCGTTCCTGAGAATTACCGAACGCATATATCATCAAGAGTGATCGAGGAAGAAAATCATAAAGGATCCGTCATTTTCAAGAAGTTACGCTTTAGATCAAATTTGATATATCAAGATTATATCAAGTTTGAATATACGTGATATTTTCTATTTTAATAGAAAATATTTCAAATGATATGATTTATAATTTTGTTTTTCTTTTACTCTCTTCTATTCGACAGACTATATAGTTATCGTGAAATATACGATAAATTGCAAGTTTGTTTTTGATACTTATAAAAAAAATTATTTATTTATTTATACGTTGTAGAAAAATCCTCGAAGAACACGATCGTAATACGTAAATACGTCAGACAAAGATGAAATATGTGTCTTACCTATGATAGTGACGAGGATCAAAAGAGCCAATATGACAGCCCTCAGGATGACCCATGGATCGGCAAAATCGAAATTTTCCACCGTCGCATTCGTTGCGATACTAACGTTTTCCTCCATTCTGAGATGACTATAGATCTGGTTTTCTAGCGGTCTTCAACGACCGCTGGTCATCATCTTTTCGCGATACGCGTCATGATCAGTTTATCGGTAATCGATCCGATCTTGACTTAAAGCCAGTCTTATTCGTATATTTAATTTCACTGGTATCAACGAGCTATTGTCATCGATTCGTTATAGAAATTCGTCGAGTCGTTCAAATCAATAGAATTCGTAGCTTCCATCTTTCTATTAAACGTTTTTCATAATCCAAGGAATCCTTTATACCTGAAAAATTAAAAAAGTTTTCATCTTGTTAATTAAAAATCTTCGTAAGTAAGATACAATCAATATTTCAAGACAATACGATTATACTTTTTTGATCTTTTCAGCAAAAAAATTATTATTCATTTTTTTTTCGAAAAGAGACAGAGAGATATAGAGATAGATAGATAGAGATAGAGAAGGAGAAAAAAAAGAGAGAGAGAGAGAGAGAGAATCAAGTATAATATCTCGACTTTTGTATCGAAGTCACGTAAACGTGAAAAAATAAGAGAGTGCCATTTTTAATATCGATCAAGTGTCTTAAGGACGAGCTCTTTAAAAGATAGCCAACTATAAAAGTAGAGCACAAACAAAGAGAAAGTTAAAAAGAGAGCGAGAGAGAAAGAGAGAGAGAGAGAGAGAGGGAGAGAGAAAGGAAGGGAGAAAAAGTATCATCGAGGAATACAGAGAGAAGTGGAGAAGAAAGAAGTGAAAAAGCGATAGAGAAAAAGAGACAGACAATTTCGAGTACTCGTTATGGCTATCATTATCGATGGATGTGCTTTGTTAAAGTAAATGGCAAGTCGTTTATAAAAGAATGATTATTTATTACGAATCAAGTAATAATATCATTCTTTTCTTTCTATTTTTAAAGTATACACAGATATATAACTATATCTATATATATATATATATTTTTTTTTTTCATGTCTCTTTTCTCGTAATTTTACAATAAAAAAAAAAGAAAAAAAAAGAAAAAAAATAAACATAAAAATAAAAATAAAATTGATTCAATATCAATGAAAAATAATTTGCTTAATTATCTGACTAATTTTTACATATTATACTGAAAGAAAAAAAATTTCCCTTTTTTTCTATACATTCTTTTCTCTCTCTCTCTCTCTCTCTCTCTCTCTCTCTCTCATTTTTTCCATACACATAAATCTTCTTATATATGCATATATATATATATATATATATATATATATATATATACACATATATATATACTCGCTTTCTCTGAATTCTCTCGTTCATTCAAATGGTGATGATTTACATGAACTTCATGCATATCCACTTTCAGGAACGTACTTATACTATCCGAACGAGAGCTTGGAAGCTATTTGGGTCATGGTGAAGTAATGGGTAAATATTAGGCTGGAAAGCTTCACGTTGAAAAGGAGGGAAAAAAAAAGGGAATAGAAGAAAAAGGTAAAGGGAATTGAAAAAGAAGGAAATAAAGTAAGAATGAAAAACAAAAAGGAAAAGAGAGAGAGTGAGAGAGAAAGAGATAGATAGAGAGAGAGAGAGAGATAGAGAGAGAGAGAGAGTGAACGAGATAAAAAGATAGGAAGGAAGAATGGAACACTGGGAATGGAGTTCAAGGAGAAGAAAAAGTTGAAAGTAATGTCCGGAATAATTCAGGGGGAAAAAAATACCACCACTATCCGGTTTGCAAATAAGTGAGGAAGCTCGATTTAATAAAAGACTATGGAGGCAATCGTTCTATTTACAGACAATTTTTATGGAATTGGTAATATCATAGAACGATTTAACACTCTTTTCTTTTTATGTACGTAGATATTTACACGCACACATATAGACGCATATGTATGTATATTATTTTTTCGATAAAAATTCTCAAGTGTGTATTTTTAATAATACCGAACCTTCTCTCTCTCTCTCTCTCTCTCTCTCTCTCTCTCTCTCTCTCTCTTTTTTTTTTTCTTCTTGTGAAGACAAAAAAGAGAGAGACAATGGATGATGGTATGTAATTAAATAATTTTTGATCATTCTTTCTCATTATTTTCCCCTGTTTTAACAGTATTAACATAAATATTATATATATATATATATATTTATATGATGCTTTGTTAATGAATATAATCGTTATAATGGCTAGTAGACAATTGGGATGTTAAAATTTATCATGACGTGTATAAAATTTGCATTACATACATATACATATAGATAGATATATCTCAATTATTATCTTTCTTTATCTATCATTTATTTTTTATCTCACTTTTAACAAAAGTTCATAACTACCTATAAACGTGTTCGTTCAATTTCTACCTTCATCCTTTTGCAATTTATTATTACGATATTATCGCCCTATTAAAATCGTTGATTTTTATTATCATCATCAAGTTTCCATGTCACCGTTTTAATTTTCATGCTCTTTTATCTTCCTAAGCAGGACGATGTTTCGAAAACCGCGAAAGCTTCCGCATACGTGATATCGTGCATTGCGATCATCTGCAATTACTGGAACGAGCTGGCATTTAAATGTCGATAAATTTCGATGCTCAATGTGTATGATATTATATCTACCGTTTGCTACCTATATTCGATAATATGTCGTATTATATGGGGTAAATCAACGGATATGAAATTTATCGCTAAAATAAATCGTCCGTAGATATAATATATATTAATATATATATATATAGTGACGAAGAGAAAGCACGATGATTCATTTTATTTTCTTTGATCATTAATACGAATTAATCATATTTATTATACATAAATAATATTCTTTATTATTTCTAATCAGGCCTTTTCATCAATGTCGATTGTAATTAAAAAAAAAAAAAAAAAAAAAAAAGAAAAGAAAAAAAGAAGAAAAGAAGAAAAGAAGAAAAGAAGAAAGAAGAAAGCAAAAGGATAGAAGAAAAAATAATATTGCCTTTAGTGTCAACGTTGACATAGAAATGATATCTTTTTAATTGACTTTTATGCGTTCTCTTTTTTTCTTCATGATGCATAGATCCCAACACCTACCCTCCCCCACCCCACATTACTTTAACAATAACAATAACAATAATATAACGATAGTTATTGATAACGATGTTAATCATTGTAATGGCGATGGTACTAACGATAGAATTGAACGTAAAATTCTCTCTAGCTCGTTCGTTTTCACGAGTATGGCTAAAGTCTCATTAGAACGAAATTCACGAGAGGCATTCAAGTTATTTCGTTGTAGTTCGACAATAGAATGGAAAAGAATGAAAGGAAGGAAAAAAGAAGAAGAAGAAGAAGAAGAAAAAAAAAATCAATTGGTTGTTAAAAGTTAAGAAAATTCTTCTGTGAAATTTATTGTAAAAAAAATATTTGACTTTTATATTTTATTGAGATTATCTCATATGCCTAAAATTGTACTAAACATATATATATATATATATACACGAGTTACTCCTTGAATGAAATAAAACGTAATGAGGATAGATTGAGATAAATAATTACACATATATACTTAGTTCATGGTCTAAAGAAAAAAGAAAAAAGAAAAAAGAAGAAAATAAAAAAGAAAAGAATTAAGAATAAGAAACATGACCATTATATCAATTATAATTTCAGAGTGGCTTATGAGTCAAGTTATATTTAATAAGTGGTCATTATAATCTTTCCCGAAGGAACAATCTCCATAGCTCGAGGGTTTAAATCGCTAAATAGATTTATTTAACTTCTGGAGAGAACTATCTTTCTCTTCTGCAGTGGTAATAAAGGTATTAAAATTAATGTAGATATGAATAACCGACATTCTGAGATTTACTTCTGGCTCTGTATCATGAGATAAGGGAACAAATTTATGCTATAAATTGCACTTACGTAACCTATCGTTGAAGGATTAATACAAAGAAGAAGTGAAAAATTTATTAGATAGATCTAACTCTATCAACAATCCCTAATTATTGTATGTATGCTATTCTAAGTATAATATATATACATATATGTATATATATATATACATATGTATATATATATACATATGTGTGAGTGAGTATACGTTTATATAAGTTTGAATAAGTATAGATATTTGCATATATCGGGCGATAAAATAATATGAACAAATTTAGAAATAAATTCATTTCTTTTTCTTTTTAAATCGAATTTGATAGTCCTTTGTTTATATAAAAAAAAAATTTATATATATATATATATATATGTGTGTGTGTATGTGTGTGTATAGTAAATCAAGATTAATTCAATACACGTAAATGTGTATACTTTTAAAATTCACAAATACCGCAAGCCTAATAATTATATCTCACGTCAAAGAGAGATTATTCGATTATTCTCGATTTTTATTTAAACCGTGCAACTTTAATAAACCTGTGAAAAAGTACAGGGGCGAGGCAGGGCAGAGGGGTGAGGGGGGCGGGTGCGGGGTAGGTGAAAGAAGGAGTAAACGAAACAAAACGAAAACAAAAAAAGAAAAAAGAAAAAAAAAACAAAATAAAAAGAAAAGGGAGAAAAAGATAAAAAAAGACGTGAACTAAAAACAAACCAGCTATATTTTCCAATCTTCTCTGACGCACATAGTATATGTAATATCTATACTTTATCGGTAAGCCGATATTTCGATATTTGGCGTTATCCTCCCTTTAATTTTCACGAGAGAATCCGAGAATAACGGCTCGAGGATGAGAAATGTCGTGGGTATAAAGTTGTGAGCCGATTTTCAAACTTCAACCATTTCCTCGATAAACATTTTTCTTTTCGATTTACTTATAAATTTTTCTTTCGATCCTCTCACTGTCACCTATTCCTATACTCATCTTCCACTTTTATTTCTATCTTTTTTTCTTATTTTATTTTTCACATAGACTACGTCGTTAATGCTTTCGGAACTTACATTAGCCGATATATATATATATATATATATATATATATGTATGTATGTATTTATGTATGTATGTACCTAAAGGTTTCGTATTTTAGCAGAAAAAGAATAACAAAAGTATTAAGTTATGATCGAGATGGTTTGATCGGTTTAACAAAAAATTTATACCTTATGAGTTTCCGTGAACGGAAAGAAAGAGGAAGAGAGAGAAAGAGAGAGAGAGAGAGAGAGAGAGAGAGAGAGAGTAAGAATAAGAAAGAGGGGATGATAACCAGCGTGTTCCAATTTTCCACTTATTGGACGCTCAGCTAAAGGGAGGTCGTTAGAATCAACCTGGTGCATGAAAGAACCTGTGTGAGAGAGAGAGAGAGAGAGAGAGAGAGAGAGAGAGAGA